ATGAGAAATTAAAAGAAAATGTGTAATGAAAATAAAATGTAAATGACAAGTGGTTATTTTAGATTTCTTGTACACCTGTCTTAAAATGTAAGGGATACTGGAGCTTGGTTGGGGTGGTGGGATGGCTCGCGGTGGGTGGCGGAAAATTTCCCTTATTTTCAAATCCAAAACTTGACAGGTATGGTTCCAGGATAAACTTTTGGAGCTCTTGTGCGATGCTGGGTTACAGTCGAGATTCGGCCGGCTGTTCCTGTCCAAGGTCTGGCTGTCATGTTATGAGGAATATCCCCAGCTGAGTGAGATGGCAGTTAAAACAAATTTGCCCTTCCACTCCACGTATCTGTGCGAGAATTTTTCTCAACTGACAGCCATGAAAACAAAGTACAGAAACAGGCTGAAACACGCTCCGAGTGGCTGTGGCTGTGTCAGCGTGCCGTCCTCGTTTCCACCAGTTAGGGGCGAGTAAGCAGACACACCCATCACATTAAAATGTTGTGCCAAATAATCCCTGTGGGTGACTAGACCTGTAATTTAATTTAGGTTAAAAGTCAACTTGCACATTCAGCACCATTTGGCAGTGTTCAAAAGTGTAGTAAAAGAAAAAACATAAAACAAAAAAATGAAAAAATTCTTGGTTCTTATACATAGGCATAGGTACATAATAATAATAATAATAATAATTATTATTATAATAATAACCGCCTAATTACTATATATCTGTATATTAACTTGGCAATAAAATATTTATTTGGCAATAATAATAAATTTAGCCAAAGCACTCCTGTTAGGTCATGTTTAATATTGTTCTTACATAAGCATAAGCCCTAATTGTGAAACCAGGCAAACAGAGAAGAGGCAGACCCTAGAATGCGGGAGAACGGGACTTTAGGGAATCGGGTACACCTGTAGCCAAGGGGAGAATTCAAAAGAGTGGTCGTGACGGATGCCAGGGGTCGGGCTTCGGAGAGGCCAGTCCTACGAAGAATGACGGGACGGAGCAACGACAAGACGGGAGGAACGAGAAGGACGGGTCCGGAGAGCAGGTTGGGCAGGCAGGGCAGGCGGGACCTGCACAAGACGAAAGAACGCTCAGTGAGGCTCACATACATGGCAACAATATTTCGCAATATGTGTGATGTCACTTCCGCTTTAAGTACCGGAGCGATTAGTCGGAAATTAGCTGTCCCGGTGCCCTGTCCCTCTGGGCGTGACACTAATAATACTAATACTAATAGTAATAATAACAATAGTGGTAGTAGTGTAATAATAATAATAATAATAACAGGACAAATACGTTTGAGAAATGCTGTACTAACCAATAAATTTGGTCTTGTACCAGCCAGCCTTGCATCTGCACCACCCCCGTCTTACACAAGGGTGTGACTTCCTGCCATTTTTGTGACTGTGAAACTGGTTCGACAAGATTTCTATTTATCTATCGATGTTTTTACACTAATTCATTAAATTCAGAAATTACATTACTTTGATATTGATTTACAACATTTTTTTCCATGAAATACCATTATTAGACTTTGATATACAAATATATAATTTATATATTAATTTAATATATATATATTTATATGTGTATATATAATATTAATATATATTTAATATATAAACTCATATATCTGACTGGCACAGCAAGTTCCACTGGTATGTATGGCTTTTCACTTGTAGTATTTCAGTTATCATGAGAGAGAGAGAGAGAGAGAGAGAGAGCACGATAGAGAGAGAGAGAGAGAGAGAGAGACGCCATAAGACACCATAGAATACACTTTTCACTTGTGTATGTATGAGGAGATGTCCAGCTCCTCTCTGGAAGCCCATAACCTGAGGTGAGATAGATAAAGGAGCCCAGAGTCCAGGCACTGACTACAGACTGGTCATCAGCACAAAGGCGACATGGCAGGTAAGCGGAGAGGAAGCTACAGATTACACACCTCGTCAGGGAGAAGCCACCTTCATGTTCAACTTAGAGCTGATCAGTTACTTATATTGAAGTTCTGCTTTTCAAGTGATTGAAATGGAGGTAACAAAACAAAGTACAGAATTAGTGCACAAAAAAGAAGGTGAATTTTATTTATATTAAAAATGAAAGTAATGACGTAGCTATTGTTACAACATGCGGGATGAAGGACTCAAAGATGGACATTAGACAGACAAAAGGGTCTTTTTTCAACCACGCAGACAGGGAAACAAAGCAAGACTGGGAGGGGTCAAAACGAGAAGGCTAGTATGGGGAAGGACACGGGCTTACAGGAGGAAGCACATTAATGACCGGACTGGGGATAATGAGACACATGGGTACTTAGATACAAAGACTAACAAGCAACAAGCACAGCCTATGAGGGTCACATTAGGGAGGAGCAGGAGGGTCAGGCGGACGTGACCAGCAGGATATAATTATATATATTACAGTAAAAGAAATGATGGTGTTTCTGGTGTTATATATACATTTTTTGAGAAAAACACGTTACAACCTTTTTCTTATTCACATCATTATTGTTTTGTTTAAAATATGTTTTACTTGATGACATGTTAACATAAAAATAAAAGAACCAGGAAATTCTTAATTATTTAAGTATTAGTAAGTTCATAATTTCTGCACTGCTGACCTCAGTTGCTAAATTGTCTGCAGTGTCTCTGAGTATTCTGGGGCTTCCTGGTGCATTCCTGCATTTCAATACAACTAGACCCAGCTACTGTAAGCTTAACCACAATATTCTGTTTACACATAATGGATGATCGTAATGCAGTAATAAAGGTCGACGTCTGGAGCGTTTCTTGGCCATTTATTAACCAAAGACAAAACAGGATCACAACTTGAAGTTGCAAACAGGCAATCATCAAAAAAACAGGACAGGACAGAACAGCAGCAGAATCGGAATTGAAATGACAACGGCAAGAAGCAGGTAGAAGGCTGATAAAGAAAGGCAGCTAACAATGGAAATCACAGAAATACTCACTATGGTAGATACTCAGAAAACTTCACTTGGAAGTGATGGAAAGAACTAGTATTTCACTGATCAAACAGGAAATGGAGCACTGGTATATTTAATAAACCGATGAGACGATCAGTGAAGCGTGACTGTGGCTTACAACACGTGAATTCATGGGTGTGGCTTACAAACCTTGACAGGTCACACCCTGCTTTTTATTTTAAAACAGGTTTTTATATAATGCTAACATGCCCAGGGGGGGTAGCAGCCAGTCGATCTTGGAATCCGCAGTTTTTTTTTTCTCCCTACTTGGGAGTTTTTGATTCCTCTACTCAGTTGTCTTCTGGTTTTCCCTCTTTCTCTTTCCCCTGTTTCATGCACCATTTTGTTCAATTGATGTACTGTTGTAATGGATACAACATACTCTTACCAAGTGCCTTGGAGTGACTGTGTTCTTACTGGCGCTATAAAAAATAAACTGGATTGAACTGATTATTATAATGGAAATTTAATTATAAAACACTTACTGAACTGATTTGTCTTGAAATTCAGTAAAGTCTTGTCCATTAAAGGTTGTGTCCGTGGTACAAATTGCCATTATGAGAATGAAGAATGTACGTTTAAGAATATTTATATCTTGATAAAGTTTCCCAATTATATTGTTCTACTGAAATGCTCTTACCTGAAGTCTAGACCTTAAAAAGGTCTGTCTGCTTCCTAACACATCCTGCTTAACCCACAGTGTCAAATGATGCCTCTGCAGTGTCATCCATGGATTTCAAGAAATGCAGAAAGTTCCATGTCTTTTTGGTTCTCGTCCTGGTCTTTGTCATCAGTTACAGCGTCTCATACAAGTGGTCGATCAGTGGAAGATGGCGGGAGACAGTACGCAGGAAGGTCAACATTCTGATCTGGCACTGGCCCTTTGGAAACATCTCCACATTGCAGAGGGACGAGTGCTGGGACAGTTACCATGTCCCTGGCTGCAACCTTGTGGACAACCGTAGTCTCTTCCCTCAGGCTGACGTGGTGATCTACCACAACCGTGAACTGCAAAATGGCGTTTCCAAGCTGCCCCTTGACCTTCCTCGCCTGCCAGCACAAAAGTGGGTGTGGCTTTCCCTGGAGTCTCCAGCCCATAATGGGGACCTGAGACGTTATGGAGGCCTGTTCAACTGGACCATGACATACAGGAATGATGCTGACATCTCCGTACCCTATGGGGAGCTGGTTCCCAGAACAACCAAAGGTAATTATACTATCCCTGCTAAGAAAACCCTGGTCTGCTGGGTGGTCAGCAACTACCAGTCAAGTCACAAAAGATCTACAGTATACATGAGTCTGAAGAGCCTGATCCCTGTGGAGGTTTATGGACGATGGGCTAATAAGCCACTAAATGACGACCAGGTGTTACCTACTATTTCTCAGTGCTACTTCTACCTGGCCTTTGAGAACTCACAGCATACAGACTACATAACAGAGAAGCTGTGGTACAATGCCTTTCTGGCTGGCACTGTGCCGGTGGTGTTGGGCCCACCTCGAGCTAACTACGAGGCCTACATTCCTAAAGACTCCTTCATCCACGTGGACGACTTTGCCTCCATTACAGAACTGGCCACTTTCTTAAACGAGTTAGCCTCAGACAAAGAGCGATACAACTCATACTTCCGTTGGCGCAGTGATTATTATGTTAAATTGTTCCATAGCTGGTCAGAGCAATTTTGCCAAATTTGTCAAATATATGAACGCCTGCCACCCAGAAAGATCTATGATGACCTGGATTCCTGGTCCAAGCATGAACCATGAACTTAATCTAGGACAGCATTCCTATAGCTATGAGAAAAAAACAAGATATAGTGTATGTGGTTTATTTTTATTAAATATATATAATAATTTAAAAATCAAGCCTTTATTAATAAATCATTATGACTAATGCATTACAATTTGTTAGTAGACATTTCACAGATGTTGATAATACTGTTGATGTTGATATTAATGCTGATTCTGCCATTCTACCCGATTCATGTAAATGTTGATGTGGTTTTCTTTTACATAGACTATTTTTGTACATATTGAATTAGTCCAATTTCTAAATTTCCATCTATTGCAATGAGTTCAAGAACTGAAACTCATAACTTTTCCATAATTTAGAAACAGTAGAAAATTGAAAATGTTGAACAAAGACAAAGTGGCACCTTTCTGTTATGGTATTTTGTGAATATTTCAACACAGTGGAGATATTTGACTTCATTTGATGGAACCTAAGAAGCTTTACTGTTGAGATCATGCACTTTGGTGTCCCTGTGTGCCAGACCCATCCAAAACAAACCCAGGATTGTCATGACCTGCGTTTACGATCCTCGTGTGTGCCACGCCCCCTCATGTGTGCCACGCCCCCTGTTCAACCACGTGTGCTCCCGATTGTGCCAAGCTGTTTTCCATCAGTCTGATATGTTCTGTGTATTTAGTGCGCGTCTGAGTCCGTTTTCCCCAGATCTGTCATTAATGTTACTTTGTCGCTGCCCTGTACTTCACTGGTTTCCCCATAAATAAGCCCTTGTGTCCTGGATCTTCGCCTGCCTGCCTCGTCCTTACAAGCTTCCTGCCTGCCTCGTCCTTACCCGCTTCCTGCCTACTCACCGGACAGCGGTCGTAACAGAATGACGGATCTCCCTCAAGATGCACCGCGGCAGATCGAGGACCAGCGCCTGGGTCTGCTGCAATAAGTTTTATACTGGCTCAACCAACCCGAGGTCTGGGAGGACCCCGCAGCCGGAGTGGGACCCTCCTCAGTGGGATGTCCCCACCCAGAAGCACGGACACATTTCGTGCTGTCCGTAAAAATCTCTGGCAGCTCACGGACATAATGACAGAGAGGCGGCTCCGGCTGGTCATGCAGCCTGCCAGGGAGGGTACCGACTGCCTACCTGAAGTTTCTGAGGTGCTTCCAGCTTCACCGCCCCAAAAGAACCGGAGGAAAAAGAAGAAGCGGAAAGAGAGAAGACCAGAAGGAGAGTCCACCATCTTTCTGGGGTCCGTCTCCATTGCCGCTTCTTCCCCTGCTGAATATCGGGAGGATGTTCTATCAATCAGACACCCAGCGGTGTTCCCCCTAGACGTCGCCACAGCCGCTTCGCGGACTCAGGTGCCCAAAGCCCGCATTACGGCCACTGAGCTGCCACCGCTAGCAGCATACCCCTTCCGGGAAGCACGCCTGGATTTTAAAAGGGCCTGGTCGGTTTGGGATGCCATTCCACGGGCTCCACAGGGCTTTAAAAGGGCAACGCCTGCTGCCATGATGCAACCCCTGGGTCTGTCTTTAGCAGTTCCTGTCGCGGCCATCGATGTTCAGCCCCCTGCGGGGCCTCACTGGCCCATACCGGATGTTTCTGACCTGCTCATACAAGATGTTCCTGACCTGCTTGACGTGCCTGTCCCGCCTGTCCCGCCTGTGCTTCCTGTGCCTGTCCCACCTGTGCTTCCTGTGCCTGATCCGCTTGTCCTGGTGGCTGCCGCACCGCCCAGCGAGGCTCCGCCTGAGAACCCTGCGGTGCCCCCTGCTGGTCCCGAGTCGGCGGTTCCTGCGGCGTCGGCGCCCTCCAAGGTTTCTGCAGCATTGCCTCCCTCCGAGGTTCCTGCTCCACCTGCAGCTCTGCCTGAGGCTCCGCCCGCGCCTGGTGCTCTGGCTCCAGCTCCACCCGAGGTCTCGGCTCCGCCTCCTTTGATGGAGGGAGAAGAGGACCTAGAATGGGACCCCTCGGGGATCTCCTTGATGGCCCCAAGGTGCCCCTCCAAGGAACTGACTCCTCTGCCCTCACCCCGGCGCGGTCAATCCCAGCCAGAACCCCACCTATCGGTGTCCCGGAAAGGGAGAGGACATAGGCGCAGGGGTCGGGTCCCGCCCACCCTACCCCCCTACTCGCCTGTGGTTCCTCGGGCTCCTGCTTTGCTGTCACCTGCAAGTCCCCCGGCATCGCCTTGTCGACCACCTGCGGTCCCACCTCCAACGCCTCATCGGCCCCCTGCGGGTTCGCCCGCTCTGACTCATCTTTTTTATTTTTACAATTTTAGTAATCCTCAAGAATTTTTTACTGTCGTCACAAACAAGTTGTTGCAGCTGACAACAGCACACTGGGCTATGAAAAATGCAGTAAAACAGCACAGACCGTACACACAGAGTATTATTCACCAGACGGGAAACTATGCAGCAAAATGGCAGATGACAAGCTCTGCTAAGTGTAAATTTTTAATTTTATTTTTATTTATTTGAATCTTTAGTAAACTAGCTTCAGATGAATCTATGACTGATTCATATATTCACCCCACATATACAAGTATGCGACTCCTTGCCATTTTTGTGACTTTGAAACTGGTTCCACAAGATTTTTATTTACCTATTGATGTTTTCAAACTTCCTTATTAATTTACATTCAGGAATTACTTTTCTTTGTTGGAAAGCTGGGAAGCACTACAGGATCCAAAGAAATCGAGTGAACACGGGGATTATTAGAAAGCGCACAAGAAAGACTGACGTTAGACTTCATGACAGCCCCCCACAAAGGCGCACAATCTGGGCGTGCCTAATGGTAGCGAAGAGATGAAACCGGAGACACAACGGTACCTAGGGAAACAAAAGCAAAAATGTCAACGAAGCACAGGGAATAGGACCGACACACAAAACAGGCACCAGGACACCAACGGACACACCACAGGGAACAGGACCGACACACACAGGGGCACCAGAAACAGGAACACGGGACAACGATGGGACAACAGCAGGGGACAAACCAACAGGAGGAGGAGCAAAGGAACCAGGTGGGAACAAAGGCACAGAGGGACAAGGAGCAAACACAGGGGGCACAAAGGCAGGGGGCAAGGAGGCAAAGGATGGGGGGAAACGAGAAGCCAAACTGGAGGAGGCGAGGAGGGAACAGAAGCCGTGGAAAGCGAAGGCACCGTCACAGCAGCGACCGACGAATTGGAGCCGGAGGACCCACAGGCGACCGATGAGGCATCGGAGGTGGGACCACAGCCATCCAACGAGGCACTGCAGGTGGAACCGAAGGCGACCGCCTAGCCGAAGCCAGGGAGACCGCAGGCGACCGCCGAGCAGGAGCTGGATGAACCGCAGGTGACCGCCGAGCCAAAGTCAGGGGGATCAAAGGTGGGCCGGGGGGCAGGGCGGGTGGGACCCGACCCCAACACAGGTGCCCTCTCCCTATCCGGGGGACCGAGAGATGGGGACCTGGCCGGGATCTGCCACGCTGGCGTGGTGGCTGGGGTGATGCACCGGAGGGGTTCAGTGGGGCCATCAGGGAAATCCCCGAGGATGGGAGTCGGGGGCACAGGAGTGGAACTGGGGGGACTGGAGCCGGAGGGTCAGGAACCAGGGGGGCTGGAGCAGAAACCATCGGAGCAGGAACCACGGGGGGCAGAGCCCCTGGAGCAGGAACCTCCAGGACAGGAACCACAAGCTTGGATGTGGGCGCCACCTCAGGGGAAGGAGCAGCAGGGACCTCAGGTGCAGCGGTATCTCCTGATGAGGAAGCTTGCTCCTTCTTCCTGAAGCGGAGCAGCTTCCTCAGCGTTTCCTCTGCTCTCTCCAGCAGATAATGTGCAGTCATTATCTGTTAATGCCTCAAAATGCATGTAACCATGGAACCATGGAGAAGGCTGTCTCTGCTTGAATATTTCACTCTTCTGAGGCCTTCCAATGCGTTGATGGCCCTGGAAATTGAAACATGATTCTGAAAGAGAAAAGGTAAGGAGCTGGGCAAGGAGAGAAAAATATAGATCATGACGATCAAACAAAAAGTAAACATGCAATCAAGCTTTGTATTATGCACATTCATACGATTTTCTTCACATCAAAGAGATATTGCGTAATGGACTGTGCAGCTGAATGAACCATTGTTTTTCTGTTAAGGTGCATGGGCAAGGCCACTCACACCCAACATTGTGGCTTCGGCTTCCAAGCCGCCTCACGCCTCCTCCCGGCCGAGCAGCACTGTCTCATTGCCCCATACTGCTGCCTTGGCCAGACACGTCTGGCAGTCGGCTTCTTAATTTATTCCATGACTGTATTTCTTATTGTTTAACAAATTATGATTGTGTATGAGACAAATAAACACTTGAAACTTGTATGGAGCCTGGTTGTATCATAATATAAATCATCTGGTCCTACCTTTAACTGGCTGTCAAGTCAGTGTTTTTAAAAGATGTATTCCTCAATATTATTCCTCCTCAATCTTATCAAGGCAGAAATAATTTACCAGTAACTACTGAAATATGTATAAGCTTGTAAAGCATGAGTTTGGTAAATCAAAGTTTGCAGGCCTGCAGTTTTATCTTCCATCCATTTTCTTGACCACTTGTCCCATTCAGGATCACATGGGGTCTGGTGATGTCATGACCCTGTGTGTGAGCCTGCATGTTCGTATGCATTACTTCCAGGTTCTCCGCTTTCCCCCTACTGTCCAAAGATTAGCTAGGTGAGCTGGCACATCTAAACTGTCCTTAGCGTCTGATTGTGTGCATGTGTGTGCCCTGTGATGGACTGCCTGCCGTCCCATCCAGGTTGTCCTCTGCCTTGTGACCTTGCTGTCTGGAATAGAATCCAGCCCTGTCACATCCCTGTACTGGATAAGTAGTCGGAATAAGGATGGTTTGGAAAAAATGCTGTGCAGATGGATTATAGCCAACAGAGGGCAGTGCAGCACAGGGTACTGTAGCTAACGTTGCATCATCTATGATGTTTCTCTTCTGGGAAGCCATGGTTCTTTTGTAAAGGGAAAGTAACCATTAGTAACAGTTTGGCTCTGTTTCAAATCAGGCTGAATGGATTTGTGTCAAATTCCATTTTCATATGTAATCTAATTTTCCCACGTAATCCTGAAATAATGACAACTGTGACAAGAGTAACAAGATTACTTATTATGTGAATATTTTTCCTTATTTTACCATTGATTTTATTTGAACATTTGTAATGAAAAACATTTTATAATCGTTTATTTTCCTGAAAAGAAATAGAAAACACTAATTTTAGGCAAACATTTGTTACATTACACTTTGTTAAATAATGCTCCAGATGTTTGTAAAGGAGCACCCATGATTACAGACACTTATAGTATTGACAAACATTTCTGCTGTATAAATGAAATATGCAAAGATCTCACAGCGGAACCTACATGCACGTTAAATTAAATTAAACATTGTCTTATCTTAATAAACAGGTTGCAATGCAAGTTGCATCAGTGCACCCAGGGGCAAACTTGGAAATTCTGGGGGCCCTGATCAAATGTCATCCTGGGCCCCCCGAAATGTAATTTTATGTATTGAAGAGCCCCTGTCAAGCACCAGGCCCCCTGGATCTGCCAGGGTATCCCAGGCCCCCTGAATCTGCCAGGGTATCCCAGGCCCCCTGAATCTGCCAGGGTATCCCAGGCCCCCTGA